CCCTCTCCTTCTCTTCGAGAACGTCACCTGCCTCGCGCTCGCGTTGTCGATCTTCTTTATCTGGATTTTCTCTCTCACCATAGTTCTCCGACTATTTGGTTCAACAATTAAAATAACGAACAACCGAAACTATATGTTCGCCGGCGGAATCGAACAGCCGGAGGCAGAAAATATCCGGCCGCGGAGGGAGTTGATTACTCGGCGTATGCAGATGAGGGCGACGAGAGAACCCTAAATTGAAAGGCTGAAATTGAATTGACAGTGAAATAATAGGGAGAGGATTTTATTGGTGGGGGTACCACCAGTTCATTAGGTGGGTGTACGAATTGTGAGAGGACCTGTGTGTGTGTGTGTGTGTGTGTCCGTGTTGTTCGGCGTGTGAATCTGTGCGATGTGTCATTTAATTAATTTGGGGGCGGAAATGGGAAAAATCAAAGAGTGGTACTGTGAACTGTACTATTGATGATATTGGTTGAGTGACAAATGAAGGAGAGTGTGTGTGTGTGTGTTTGTGTGTGTGTGTGTGTGTGGAGGATTTAATGTGTGAAAATATCAAAAACTAGTCTTTATTTATTAGGGGGAAGCCAAAGAGGGGTCCTTTTTCGGGTGAAACAAGACTACTGCGGTGCCCTTCCAAATCTCTCCTCGTCGTTATCTGCTTTTTTGCTAGCCAATAAAATATAGTAGAAGAAGTGTAAATATCATGCTTTCACTTATATATATGTATATTTTTATTTTATATACATATCATCACATTTTAACATTTTATTTGATATATAATAATAATAATTAATTATTAATTGTTTGGATTTTTTTTTTTTGGGTTTGGTTTTGGATTGAGTTTATTCTTAGATCCAAATGACCCCGATTCCTGATCCTACATGCTTAGGGAGCTCATCAGCGGTCCATGTTGCTTTTGCGGGTTCGAGCCACGAGCAGGAGGCTCGAGCAGTTCAAAGAGTGGTGGTTCCAGCGCAGGTGCAGCCATGTCTAGTCCAGCTGCCTCTAGCGGTGCCATTGAGAGGATAGGTCGAGCGAGGACAACTCGCGACGATGTCGAGGGAAGAGCTGGAGAAGATAATAGCCAACGGCGTGGCCGTGGGGGTAGCCCAGTAAGTTGTTGGTGTAAATACTGAAAAATTTTGCTTTGGATATTATTTACCTTATTTCTGTTGAATGTGAATCATGTTTGATTAAACAAGTTCTATATTATGTTGTTTGCACTTAGATAATATGGTTCATCACTCATGAACAATAGATCATTTTATTAGTCACTTGCGAAACAAAAGTTATTGGTTCACAATCTAGATGAAAATGAACAAACCATCAAAACGGTTGTGGTATCAATCGTGCAGTTGATCTTGACTGATTAGTTGCACTAGTGCATTTTCTGGAGGAGTAGCTCGTTTTATACTGATCGTCATAAATGAACTACAACTCAGTTGCTTACTGCTTTCTCTTAACTCGTGATATATAAAAAGGCATGTTCACACAATAGCTATTATTTTAATTCACTAAAAGCGAGATTCATTCTGTTGGGTCAATAGTCTTTGTGGTTTGGGTATAGTGTTTTTTGTATGAGGTATTGTTAGAATATTTACGATTACCGTGTGCATTAATTAGTTTGATGATATACCTGAAGTGAGTTTATGAAAGATTATTATGTTAAACCTTGCAAGTGGATTAAGTTCCGCTTTGAGTGGTACTAGATTCGTTTCAAGATGTCAAATAATTCTTGATTATCAGTAATCGAATTTATTGATAGACATTATATCTTAAACATGGGAAAATAATTCAGGTAATTATTATTGGAGCCTCGAATATAATTCGAGGATGATGAGGAAGTGCAATAATGTTTTATTAGTGGACAAAAACATTATTTAAGTTATTGAGCAAAGTGATTCGGCCCATAGTTAGGCTCAATTACTCAAGAAACTCATATCATCATCTCCTTAGAATCTCTGCTATCCTATAAATACATCATTAAACTCACGTGATTGGACACATAAGTGACCCCCCGCATGCATGCTCGGCCGCTTAATTTGATTTAATCTCATTAGTTGTCTATGTAATCTGAAGAGGGCAACTGTATATGTAATACTTGTATTGGATAATATTAATTATGTTTAAAAAAAATCCAGGCTGAAAAGTATTGATCAAGCATTAGGGTATATATTTAAGACAAAATTTTAAATTAATATATAAAAAGATAATGTGAAACACACTATAAGAACTAGTGAGAATCTCGTTCGATGTATGGGGATTTGGTAACTTAAAATATTTTTGCAAAACTTTATTTTAACAATGTATTAACTTGTTGACCCGTTTATATTAATAAAATAACATTTCAACATATATATATATATATATATATATATATATATATATATATTAATACAAAAAAATAATAATTTTACATATTTTGGTTCATCATAATAATAAAATATTATTTTATTTAAAAATTTATTGTTGTATTATGTCAATATTATTTATAACATTTATAGAAGTAATATTTCTTTTTTATATAATGATAAATATTTAATGTATTTTAATATTATTTAGTGATGTGTTTAATTTAAAATTATATAAGTAAATCTAATGTTTGTTAGGATTGGGATAGATCTCGATATTTTAGGTACAAATATATGATATATATATATATATATATATGTACAGATATATGATATGAATATGTTGAGATACAAAAGAAATTTTTATGTGATTTATTACCTTAATAAATCAGCCGCAATTACCTAAATTGTATCTTTAAAACATACCAAAAAAATGTTTAAATAGTTTCCAGAATTAGTAAACAACAATTTTTTGGCGGGAAATAGTTACTATTTAAAAAATAATCAAACTTTTATATATATAGATATAGATATATAGATATGATGATATTTCAATCGAAATGAACGGAAATATATTCCAACGGAAATTAAAAAAAAAATCCAATGTTGTTATTTCTGTTGGAATTTTCTAATGGATTCTAACGGAATTTCGAAAAAAAATATTCTGCTGGAATGAGTTTTCTATTTGAAATTTCTATTAGATTTTGACGATTCCAATGGTTGAAATATAGGTGAAAAGAAAATTTTCAACAAAAATTGTATATTCCAACGGTAAAAAACCTTTGTAATAATGGTCGTTGGAATGATAAAATTTCATCTAAATTTCAGCAGAAAATTCATTCGAACAAAATAGTTTTCATTGGAATTTTTGTTAGAATCATTCCAACGTAAGCTATACCATTGGAATATCCGTTGAAATTTCCATTTGAATGTATTACCTTAGGATTTTTCGTTGGAATATGACAGTTTTTTTTGTAGTGACACTAAAACCAATATTTTATAATAGCATAAGAAATGTCAAAATTATAATACACATGAGAAATTAAGAAAAAAAAAATAATAGTAAAATATCATGAAATGTAATACTAATACATACCAATTCTAAAATGTGCAACTACATATGAATGTTGAAGAAATTATTATATAATAAATGCTCACCACCATAGTAAAAATGAATTGGTTAGACCATTATAATTTTAGCAAGCCCTCAATGCGCGTATATATGATCACATTCAAATATAGCAGTGTACGTTGATGTTGTAGAGCCAAATGGCCGTGGTAAGTACCAAAAATTATAGTCCTTCCAGCTAAAAATATAAATGGGCCTAAATAATTTTGGAAAGTGATTCTTTGTACGTAGCTGAACATAATTCATTAGCTATATCATATTAAATTT